TAGGTGGGGCCCCCGATGTTGCTGACGATAGGCCGTAGGGGGACTGATTCTTTGTGGATCTTCGGGAGGCCATATAGTCTGGGTGCTGAGCTGTCGCTGGGGATCAGGTATTTCGTGGTTAGCGGAGGGAGGTTCGCCTTTTTTATCAGGGAGGAGGTCTTCTTCTCTACGCTGGTGGTTGGATCGCGTTTTAGTTTTTTGTAGACTTGGGCGTCGGACAGCAAGGTGTAATAGAACAATGCCTCAACTCCACCTATTTCCGGTTCGAAGGAGAGTTCTACGAACAAACCACGGGAGCAGCAATGGGATCCCCGATATCACCCATCATCGCAAACATCTTTATGGAACACTTCGAGAATGAAATCCTGAAGAAGGCCCCACTAAAACCCTCCACATGGTTCCGGTACGTGGACGACACCGTCGTCATCTGGAACCACGGAAGGGAAACTCTACCTCATTTCCTCACTTTCATTAACTCCCAACATCCCAACATCCAATTCACAATGGAGACCGAACAGAATTCCCAAATCCCCTTCCTGGATGTCCTGGTCCGTAGGAACGAAGACGGCACCCTAAGCCACAACGTCTACCGCAAACCAACACACACGGACCGATACCTCCACGCAAACTCCCACCATCACCCCGCCCAAAAGAATTCGGTAATCAGCTCTCTAGTCCACAGAGCACTCTCCATCTCGAAACCAGCCGCCCTGAACGGAGAGCTAAACCACCTTCACCGAACCCTGACCAGGAACGGATACAGCAGCAGAAACATCAACCTTACCATCAAGAAGCTGACCAACAAGGAATCCGGCTAGAACAACACGATGCTAGAGACAGAGAAAGAGAAGATTAAGGCAGTAGTACTTCCATACGTCAGAGGCACCACGGACCGCATCAGCAGAATTCTGAGCAAACACAACATCAAAGCGATCTTCAAACCTTGCAACAAGCTCTCAGAAATGCTCCCCAATCCCAAGGACCGGAGACCCCCTTTGACAGCCCCAGGGGTTTACAAGGTCCCATGCTCCTGCGGCAAAGCGTACATAGGAGAAACCGGGAGGAAGATTAGTACACGAATCAAAGAACACCAGCGATGTACCAAATACGGCCACTTCTCACAATCAGCTCTAGCCGAACACAAGATCGAGACCGGACACGCCATCCAGTTCGACAAAGCCACCATGCTGGCCCCGTCCCAAAGCTATTTCGCACGAAAACACCGCGAAGGTATAGAAATCTTGAAACACCCTGACAATCTGAATTGCGACAAAGGCTATCAGGTGAGCCCGATATGGCACACCGCCCTCCCGGTTTAAAAAAAAAACTGTCAGCCGGCATAGGCTGACCCCCCTCCCTCTGACCACCCCCTCCCCCTGACCACCCCCCTTCCCTCCCCCCAAGAACAAGTATAAAAGGACCAGCGCAACGCGAGGGAGCTCAGTATCAGAGTCTTCCAGCCCTGATGAAGCAGACTGCAACGCCTGCGAAACGTCGGCACCACACTGCAAACGGACGCGACAACCATCCGGAAGCCATGACGACTAAAGAAGACAACAGCCGCGAAAGCCTGAAAGCCAAGTTCATTGTTCTTTGTTAATAAAGAAACTTTCCAGTATGTGTATGATATAGAAATTATCATCCGTCAATATACCATCACATTTTAAGTCTTGTAATTGTAATTTCCTTTGTTTTATATGGATAAGATGAAAAATATTACATGTGATACAATAAAACGTTGTCATAACTTGCCAAAAATAATTATGAAACGTTTTATTTTATATAGAATGCGCATTTCATCTGACAAACAAAGATTATCGAACAAAATGTATAGCAGTAAGACTATGGCGATGCATTCTACTATTAAATAGCATTTTTATTTTAAGTATGCATTTTGTATATGTATATTTCATTATTTATAATATATAAAATATTAACATCTGTTTTCTTCCCTTATTTTCCTTATATTCGTTTAAACTGTACGGGTTCCCGCTTTGTATTGTGATTTGTTCCGCCATTTTTAGGGGTTATGACTTTGACCCAATGAAAAGTGGTCTACAAGTTCGCCGGACTCTGTATTCTAGGGACTCTAGTCAGCATGAGTGAGGGACATGAGTACCAACATAACGCCACAAAAAATCGAAAATCGAATATACGTAGCCCGCGGAAATTAAAAATTCGCGATACTTTTTGAACAGACCTCGTATATTTTCTACTGCTGTTCCTCACTTGCGAAGTGCCAAGAGGGCCATTGTTACTCTTTACTGTAAATGTATTATATTTACAGAGGGTGGACAAAATAATGTGAACACCTGACTAACACCTAATATTTCTTAATTAGTAAGGTGTAGGGCCACCGTTTGCTTTTAAGACAGCTGTAATTCGTCGTGGAATAGATTCGTAGAATCTATGTACGAATAGTATCCAACGGAATGTTGTCCCATTCTTCCACCAGCACCTCCGCCAATTGCCTCAATGATGATGGAGGTGGAAATCTGCTCTTCACACTCTGCTCCAAAACTCCCCATAGCGGCTCGATTATGTTGAGATCTGGCGATTGTGCTAGCCAGGGAAGATGCTTGATAATATTCCGGTGCTCCTCGAACCAAGACTGAACTTCTTTGGTCGGGTGTATGGACGCATTATATTGTCTTGGAATATGGCTGTGTTTGGCAACAATATACTGGTCACAGTAAGAACTTCATCGTTGAGGATGTCGAGATATTCATTTGCAGTAATACGGCAATTGAGGGTAATAATCGGGCCAGCGGACTACCATGATATAGCCGTCCAAATCATCACGGAGCCGCCCCCGTGCTTGACTGTGAGGAGTAGACAGTCCGGATCGTAGGCTTCTATGGGAGTTCTCCACGCATAAACCCGACCGTTTGTAAGGAACAAAGTAAACGATGATTCATCGGACCATACCACATTCTTCTAATCATCTATCGTCCAAGTTTTATGATCATGGCACCACTTCTTTCGCAGCTTCGCGTTGGCATCCGTTATAAGAAGTTTTGAAATTGCAGCCCTGCCATAAATGGTACCTTTGTGCAGCTCCCGCCGTACTGTTTTTGGCGAAACAGGATTGTTCAGGTGACTGGTGAGTTCTGCTGTCACCTTTGCTGCGATAGTTTTATGTTGCATGACCACAGTCCTTTTTAAAATTCGGCTGTCCTTATTTGTTAACGCTGTTTTACGCCCACTTTTTCTCGTCGCAGATGTTGTTTTGCCCTGATTTGTGTAGGCTGTCATCACCGTGGATACTGTCGCTCGTGAAACGTTAAACAGTTTCGCCGTCTTCGTCACAGATGCTCCTGCTAACCGAGCACCCACGATTTGGCCTCTTTCGAAATCTGACAGATCGCTCATTTCACCATCCGATTGTTAGCACCGTCATATAATAAAGCGAGTAGTATATTAAAATATAAACTAGAACGGTTACTACGTGAAATGCACCACATATACGCGTCGCACCGTTCATACTGTGACAGGGGGCCCAACATAAACAAATGTGTAATATTTAGCATGGTGTTCACATTATTTTATCCCCCTGTATATTTTATGTTTAAAACTTAAAGACATCTTTATAAGGTGTCATAAGGACGTTTTTTGACAACGTCTTAAAAACATCTTTATATGCGTAAGACGTTACAAGGATATCTTTCTAAAAAAGTCTTAAAAACATCTTTACAAGACGTTACAAAGACAACTTTTTGACAATGTCTTAAAGACATTTTTTTCTGACGTCTTGCGGATGTCTTACGGACGTCTTTTCGTGAAATCTTAAAGACGTCTCTTGTAAGACGTTTTTAAGACGTCGTTTAGACAAACATGATGACATTTTATAGTTTTATTATATGTATGTATGCACAAATACGTGCGAAAAATTGTGGATTGTCACAGAATATAAGACCATATGTCATGTATGTTATTATGCATAAAAATATATGTATCTCACAATTATATGAATTTAATCGCAGATTACAGAGTCGGCACTCAGCAAATTATTGGAGTGGTTGAATAACCATTACATATTACCCGAAGTTTACATAACTGAAAACGGTTACGCCGATATTGGGAAAATTGCGAATAACGGAGAAATAGTAGATGTAAACAGAATAATTTACCTTCGACAGAACATATCGCAAGTTATGAAAGCTATGCAAAAAGGCATCAATATTCACGGTTATTTGATTTGATCGTTAATCGGCGATTTTTCACGGTATGCGAAATCCTTTGTGATTAATTGAAATTACAATATGTCAAAAAGCTATACTGAAATCAAAGTGGTACAAGTACTATATGTTTAGATATTATACTTTTATTATAATGTCATACAATATTGTACAATATAATATTATATACATTTAACAATCAATCCGATGGAACACAATAATGTAATTTGAGAGAAATAATTTCGTTAATTTGTTAATATACATCACACTGGAAACGTTCATTTTATGTAGATTTCAATGACGCAATAGCTTTATTAGAATACCACAATCTTCAAAACAATTACTAAAATTATTTTAAAAACCAGAATTATAAATTCAATAACGAGACTTACGGAAATGACTAGAAAGTAAAATTTGATACCGCAAGTAACATGTATTACTTTGTATTGCCATTTACATTTAAGGAAAATGAGGTATGTACACTGGCCTAAATCAA